TAAATAAAATAGTCTAAATAAGTGTTAAAAATATAGTATTAAATCCTTAACACTATATGATGTGATAATAACCCTACCATCTTTTAAAGATAATTTCTTTTTGGAAAATGATTAGTGCACACCTGGGTCGATATCTGGGTATGCACACTTTTCATTGAAGAAAAAAAAAAAAAGCCCATCACCACCCGGTCAAATTTTTTTTTTTTTTATGTGGGGGTGCACATTCGGATATTGGATCCGGGTGTGCACCAATAAAGGTTTTTTTTTTTTTTTTACTTTTGAGTCAAGAAAAATGAAAGGAAAGTAAGGAGCATTTGACATAGTTTGTAAAACTAAGTACTACTAATTTTTAGCATTAAGTAAGCAACATTATGTTGATTACGTTTAGCTTGTACTAGAGTTTTTCTCAGTAATGCTTTTGGCAAAAGGAAGACTAAGAAGTTCTAAAATTAAGGTCTAATTACAATAACATAATAGATAGAAAGAATCAATTAAGATTAATGGAATTAATCCTTCTAGATTTTTAATAATTCGTTTTCAAATTTTTGTATTTGGTAGAATTGGTTGAGAATTCAAATCGATACTTTTACAACCCATGAACTGACCCATTTTCCTTGAAATTGCCGTTGTTAAGAAAAAAAAAAAAAAAAGATTAGTGTTATATTTCACTTATTTTATTTAATCACTGTGATTGAAAATATTGAATTTTCTTTTTCTGCTGGGTCATGCTGTAATTTCATTAGACTATAGGGTGTATATATATATATATATACATTCAATGTTTTTGGCTGCCGGAGGTAATTTAATTAGATTAACCAAAAACTTCAGAATTTCGAAAAAAAGGGGGGCAAAATCTTCAGTAAGAAATAATTGGCGTGGGAAAAGTTTCGAGTCGAGTGGGAAATTCAAAATTTTTCTTTACTCATCTATTTTGCTGCAGAATTCGAACTGCATTTTCCCTTTCTTTTTCTAAGCAACCAAACGGGAATTAACTGCTACTCGCCATTGCTAATTCCGAGTCTCAAAATTCTCTATTTCGAGATTTTGATGTTCTTCTCCTTCGCAAGTTTCCACCAACAATTGAAGTTCGCTGCAGACGTCCTACTCATTCAGCTTCCGAACACCTCGAACCTCCAGAGGTATCCTCTCCCTGCTTTTATTCACTGTGAACTTTAGAATTTTCATGCATTTTCCATTTCAATTGTGCCTTTTATCCGATACTAATCTGTTTATGTTCATAGTTCATGGAAATTTCAACATCTTAGAAAAAAATTTAGTTAGTACTGGAACGAGACTGCTGTATTGAATTTTGATGCAGGTTTTGGGGTAAATAACATCTCCAAAATTTAACCTGTTTGTTTTCGATTTTCATTCATCTATGCTTTCAGATGTTTTTATAGTTAGTGGCACCAAATCGAGAAGTTCTTGGTTGTATGATATGAGTAATACATAAAACTACAACATTTATCTTTAGAGGGAGAAAGTGCTTAAGAAAACTTTGAAGTGCATGCATTCAGATTGTGCAAATAGACATTAGAGTTTGAGATACATCCCGGGGAAAAAAAAGTACATATATAGCCAGAGGAAAATTTCTGACTAGAGTTACAAAACCAACTTTGCTTAAAATCAAGCTGAAACACTTGTATAAAGATCTCTGGTGATCTCGTCTAGGAGTGCATTAAATACATGCCTCTCCACGTCTCTTATGACATCATCCTTTTCAAGGAATGCAAATATCATATCATTCCAACCCAAGTCCCACATACAATTCACATCTGGGTTTATGTTGTAGACTTCATTCTCGATCATTTTAGGTATGTAGTCTTCAGAGACGAAGTCGACATTCCTGTTGTTTCCATAGAGCTTTAGCTTCTCGAAGTCTCTATGCAAATGCTTTGCCAAGTCATCCAAAGATCTTACTTTTATGGGTGGGATCAATACATTCATAAATGGATGGACACTTAACTCCTGCCTTTTTCCCTTTCTTTTCATTACTTCATAGCCACAGTCTAATATAATCTTGCTCTCTTCATCTTGACAACTGCGATCGCTGGAATCTAGAATGCCAAAAGGAATGTTAAGTCTGAAAAGTGCCTCTGCTGTGTTCAGAAATAGTTGACTTCTAACCAGTATCTGCTTAAGGTGATCTTCACTTTCTGTCAATGGCTCTGGGATCTCAGGTTTGCAAGGTTTCTGGTGCTCTGACTTTGAAGGAATAGACATTTTCTTTCTTTCTTCATCAGTTCCTACATTGAACTTCAGCAAATAAGTTTCATCATTGATTTTTTGGGAAAATAGTAAAACATGCAAGCCTTTCTGTAGTAATTTTTGTATGCTTTGAATGCCCATGTAATTAAATGTGTTTTTGTGCTTGTCATGACCCTTGATGGTAATGATAGAGGTTGGTGTAAGCTCATCTCTTGTCAAACACTTTAGTCATGCAAAAATATATTTGGTTGGGTTTGTTTGGGATACTTTTAAGTGAACAGAAGGATGAAGAGGATGGACTTGACTTTGTAAGGTTGACTCTCCTTTTCCACTCCTCCAATGCCCTAACTAGGTTGTAGGCATTGCCTTCCTGAAGAAGGTGGGAAATCAAATTTGGAATGCTAGGTTCTACTAACCTGGTTGATCATTATGAAACTTAAGCTCTTCTCGATCTGTGTCCAACTCAGATTCTGGAACTTGCTGATTGTTTTTAACCATGGAGGTTACCTTTTGATCCTGCACAAGATTGAAAAACTGTCATGCATCCTACTTTAGAAGAAGTATGGAGTGTTATTGGTCGAAGCTGTGGCTTCAGTTCTCTGAAGTATTGGTAATGTAGTATTAGTGGACTTACACTGTCATTTGCTGAAGCTTGAGATTCTAGGCTTTGGCCTTTGTCTTTTGGAGAACTAAAGGAAAATGATTCGTCCCGGGCTCCTTTATTCAGCTCTTGAGTTCCAGTAAGTGATTGGATGCTTGCTTCTGTTTTGTTGGATTTGATAATGTGTCCTTCTACTTCTTTGGACTTGCTGACTTTCACTTGGTCTGCATCTTTGGACATGGAGAATTTTTCCGACCCTCTTTGTTTCCCTTCTTGCAAGATGGAACTCTGATGTGTTAGCGGCCTAGGCAACTTGTATAGAGTTCCACTTCTTTTTATCATTAGTTCATCAATCATTCGAGGAATTTCAGGTTTGTAAATTTTTGTGCCCTTTGCTTTTGGTTGTGGTTGTGCTTGAACTTGTTTATCTCCCATGGTTGGTTGGACTCCAGCTCTTGCTGTTTCAGATTGTTGATCTCCTCGAGAAGAATTCTGACTTGAGTTTCTTCTTATTGAATCTTTCATCTTCACATTGGAGTTGGTAGAACTACTATCTCTGCCATGATCTTGATGATGCCTACCATTTTGGAAGCCATCAACTTGCACTTTGTCAGTGTGTTCTGTGGAACCTTTCCTGCTATCTGTGGCTTGGTCCAATTGTGTCTTCTTCTTTTGAAAATTAGTTGCAGTATGCATGGTCTTCAATAAACTAATGGATATTGATTTATTTCCTTTTTGCTTCTTCCCTTGCAGTTTCTCTTTTGCATTCTGCTGCTCCTCTTCTGTTCGGTGCCTTTTGTCATGGAGTTCAGATTTTTGGAACATTTCTAGTTGTTGGAATCCAAGGGTAACATGCAGCTTTTGTTGACTGCCAAGGAGAAGCTTGTTCGTGTAGCCACTTTCTGCCTGAATCATGCTCTCCCTGCTTGCTGTTTTCTCTTGCAATGTAAGTGCAGCTTCTAATTTTTTATGTGAATCTGGTATCATCTGGGGCAGCTCATCTTTGGAGGCCAGTTCCTTGGTTTCACCTTTTCCTGTGCCTGTTTGTTCTCTGTGCTTTAGACTATCTTGTTTTCTTTCCTTTTCCTGAATCTCTTTTCGGCTTCTAATATGAAGGTTCAATTGAGTGCTGTTGCTTTGTTCTTTATCTGTCTTGTAGGTGGCCTTTCTTGAGCCTTTCACCATTTTTATATCTTCCAAGTTTTTCAAGGCTGGTGTTTTATCATTTATGGCTAACAGCATGCTACCATTTCTGTCTGCCAGATTTTTTCCTGATTGTGATGCAGCAGTATCCAGAATTGCTGGAATCACACTTGCTTGTATACCTCTCTGTCTTACAGATGGGAGTTCTAGATTTTCAGTAACTGTTGCCCTCTGTTCAACCTTCTTGCTATTTTCTTGTGCAGGTTTCTTTGACATCATGATTCCAACCTTTTGCTTTGCATTGAAATCTTTCTGTGCAGTATACTTTGAATCTACATTTCCTGGAAGTTCATCCAGCCCCATCAGTTTTGCAATTACATTTGGAATTCTCCCCTTTTCTTGTTTGGTTTGTGATGAACTTGAGTGGTTTTTTTCTGAAAATGTTTCAGGGCCATAGCTAATTGACCGCTTGTGAGAACTTGGAGTTGTGTCAGCTGGAACTTGCTTTTGATGGTTGAACCTAGTAGCCTCTGAAGAGTAGGTTACAGCTGCCAATCTCAGCCTAATATCAGTCTTTGCCACTTCTTGCTTCTTGTGATAATTTCTTGAGGGCTTGTCAAAAGAAAATTTTGGTCTGTCTAGTTGTTTTTGTTCAGCTACTAAGACACTATTGTCATCATTATCTTCATCATCTTCAAGCAATGTGATCCGACTTTTTCTCTGTGGGTTGATCATATACTCTGAAGCTTCCTGCAGGCCTACAAGCATCCTCAGAGACTCTTCCAAATCCACAGCTCCTTTTAACAGTTCCCTTCCAATTTCAATTGAGTACCTGTCAAAGTTCAGGCCATTAGAGCATGCTCGAAGGATCTGGTTCAACTTTTGTGCCCCCTTAGATATTTCTTCAATATGGAGATTAGAGAGACTACGCAAGTGGCTAGCAGAAGATGGAGGCCTATCTACTGCAATGTTTCTTCTTTCCATCTTTCCATAGTCCAATTCTCTCCTACCACCAATTTGGTGGAGAAAACTGAGCACTGAACCATTGCCTGAAGAATCTATTCTGAGCTTTCCTCCATTTTCAAGGGCAAAAGCCAGCGCTGTCGACAGATTTCCCATATGTTCTGACTTCTGGCCTCGCCCAAAAGGAACAATCTGATTTGAAGCCTGCCCATTGGTGAGTAATCTATTACCTCCATCAGACCTACTCCCTGCTCTAAAACTGGTCTGCAAAAGAGAAAACATCTCAACTAAATGAAGTTTATGTCTTTGCATTTTTCTGTTATCTTCATATGATAGATCGACGTTAGTTTTCGAAACTTACATTTTCCTGAGCTTTTAATTCCATTGATCCTTTTCTCTTGGAATAGGCATATGCATCTGCACAAACATGTCCATGAAAAAAAAAAGGGAAAAGAAAAGGAACCAACATTACACATTTTGATATATTTTTTTATGGGTTTTGCAAGCTACCAAAAACTTTATTGGAGATAGGATACTGCTCAAACTGTTTTCTACCAGAGCATGTAAGTATAACGAAACCGAAAAGTCAAAAACTTGCTTTTAAGGATGGTTTGGCTACGTTTTCAGCTCCGCTGTTATTATTATTTTTCTTGGTATTCTAGAATCGTAACTTCTGATTGCTCTATTATGAAGTGTATTTTCAGAAAAATAAAAAAGCGATACTTATAGTAACTAGCACTACTATTGAGCTTGTGAATGATGCTTCTATTCAAGTTCTACAGAATATTGGATAATGCCCACTGCTTTTGCAATTGCTTGAAGTGATCAAATGAGAATCAGGATTCACATACCCCTTTAGAAGATTTACCCCGCTTGCTATGCTAAACGTTTGAATTCTCTACCCTGGAAGATTTTGATGCATGCATGCCTGTGCTTAATACAGAGATATCAAGAAATGCTCACCTGCAGGCAGTGGCCGCTTTGTACCTTTTGATCTTTGAGCTGCGGCCATTCGCTCCTTCCGCAATCGGAGGTCATCCAAGAGCTTCTGGGCAAAATCTGATCTCTTTGCCATGCCAATCTCTCAATTGAAACAAATGTTTTTATCTCCAACTCTCTTTCAGTCAGGAAAAAAAAAGAAAGAACATATTTACATTGTATTTGGCTATGACTGTTCTTGTAGATGAGAGGAATGTTTCTTTATCTAGTTGGAAGGCATCTTTCAAAGTTGGGTGAGTTGGGAAGTCCAGAATGAAGTTTCAAAAATTCTATCCTAGAAAGGTTGACGTGAACGTTAGCTCTCATTCTGTCTCTCTCTCTCTGAAGGTCTTTCTAGCACTTGAAATGTTCTTGACTTTGATTCTAATGCAAGCAATGGTAAAGGATTCAAAGCCAAAGGGCTTAATTTCCAAGCCTTCTTTACTAACTTCCACTTTTTCCCTTTTGCCCTTTATTCACCATGTGAATCTTTCTTCAATCCTTAAACCGTGTATGCATGCTTGACGCTTTAGATTGACGAACATAAAATATGGCATGCACTCGATACATTATGGGGCTGAAAGACCCCAACCTGATGGAGTAACTTAGAATTTGGTCCAAAGGGCAAAGATCTTTGAAAGCATCTTTTTAGAACCATGGTGCACTCTTCACAGCTTCAACTCACCCCACCACAGCCAAACCAAGAAAGGTACGTAGTGGACAGAAGAAATGTAAGGGCAAATCCACTTTTGGTAAACCTTAAAACTGGAAATTTTCCCATTTCAAATCTTCTTAATCTAATAACTACTGATCACACAGATAGGTACGTGGCACCCAAATGCAGGAGATTGGGATGGTGCCATGATGCTCTCCTGACAAGATGTCATTGTCATAAAGAAATTACTTCACATCCAACTTAGTTGTTTGATTTTGTCAGCATTGTATATTAATAAAGATTGCATGAACAGAAAAACTCTATTGACTCCAATCCATTGCCAATTATAGCAGATTTAACCTACCAAGTAATGATCAATCCACGAAATAAGGTGAAAAGCATTAAATATCCCTGATTTAGCTTACATTTAAAATAATTAATTAATTTATTTTTCTTTTCAAAAAATAAATAAATTTATAATAAATAGTTGCACATGACTCTTCAGATTAATTGGTACTCTACCAATTTGAGATGCATTACGCCATTACCCTTCTTTTATGAGCGGTTTCGAGTCTGTCCCTTAACAATTTATTCAAAAAAATTTTATAATAAAGAGTTGTATTCTTTTATATTATTGAAAATAAAAAAAAATTATCGAATAAATTTTTTATTTTATAATTTAAATTATATTAAATTATATAATAGTTTTTTAGAATTCAAAAGATTATTTTGGAACTTATTCATTACATTTGGCATTAGTCCAATTAACAAAATCTAGGATTCTGGCAAACCCAAAATCTGGTTGGGACAGGGATTGCCAGGTAGCCAAACAGGGATCTTTCTGGAAATTTTGGTAGGTTGACGTTGACCCGTGCTGGCGAAAGATACGTGGGGGGCAAAATGGGGAAATCGCAGTAGAGGCAACACTTCCAGAACCTCCCCGCGCATCACAGCCATTAGCCTTTCCAATTGAGGGAGAGAGCCCAGCCCAATAATATTATCGCGCAAATCAGACCGTCGATTTTCATTCAGAACAAAAATCACAGCTTTTGGATTCATTCCTATTTCGCCGGCATATTTCCCTTATTTAATCCCTTCGCGCCATTCTTCAAACTCTTCTCCAGATTTCCTCCTGTAATTCGATGAGGTGCTACCTTATGCTTTCACAGTTCATCTATGGCTTCCACGAGTCAGAAGAAGCAATATGAACTCAGATCTATGGAGGTACTTTGTTACGTTTGATTTTCTGCTGTTCCTGTTCGTCCTTAATTTGAGTTCTGAGTATTCAATTTGCTTTTGTTTTGTTGAAGGATGCCTTTTCTGGATTTGTCGAGCTTCCTGTTCTAAAAAAGCTGTTTATGATTCTTTCTTGAATTTGAATCCATACTTCAAATCTGGATGAGGTATTAAGTGCGAGGTTGCTTCTAATTGCTTCTGTTCTGGTTCTTAATTATGGCTGTGTTTTTTCTTTTTGTATTTTTTTAAATTAATAATTGATCTCGTTCCTATTGCGTTTTCAGATCTGGATTACAGATCGATGTTATACACCGTTGCTCCTTTTGTTCCACCTGATAAACAACAGTGTGTTTGATGCGCCTCCGATTTGAGAGTCGGCAAAACGGTTTGTTGTATATTTTAGTAGCTGATTTATTTTTTGAGTAATTATTTCAAATGAATCGCATCTGTTTGCTCATTTCAATATATTGAATGTAGATTGTTTAGAGTAAGAGGGGTTGTAAATTGCTAAAAGGTTGTGGGTAACGGTAAACAGAAGTTTTGTGTTGAGTTGTTGGGAGATGTGAAGAACTGACAGTCGACGCTTGGTGAGATTTTGTGAGGGAAAAGAAAGGAGCGGTGAAAAAAATGTAGTGATGATTCTGTTATTGTCACCCGACCTTTGCCTTGACGGGTGCGCTTGCATGGCAGGTCAAAAAAACCTAATAAAATTCATATTCTTTGGGTTTCGGGGGGAGATGGCACGGGATCAACTTTTAAGTTTATTTTGCCCAGCTCTCCCCCCTGTTGTGTCTTGTGTCTTTGCTTTTGTTTCTTTTCTTTTTATCCTCTCTACATCTTTGTTTCGCACTCCTTATCAATGGTTGGCTTAACGACATAAATGATGCAACATTGCTTTCAATCAAAGAAAATTGGATAATCAACTCAACTAATTTCAGTAGATTGAAAGTGGCATTCAATTTTGGAAAGGAAATGATCTACAGTATGACCATCGCACACATGAGGCACATTCCTTTGCAAACACTCAAAGGTAGAATCTGTAAGGTAAACCTCCATTTATCTTCTCTGCATGGCCATTTCACAAGTGTTGATGTTTTAATTTAATTATTAATCTCTATTTCTCAGATTGGTTTTTGCAATGTCCCAGTGTTCCTCTGCTGGCTTAGACATGAGTTACTAACAATTGTTTATCCATTTAATATCCTTACCTGACCTTATATTACAACGAACTAATTCCACTATATATTATCATCCAATACTTAATGTGGGATGTTTCACCTCTCGTCACAAGTTGATACTATTTAGTAATTGCAATGGTGCTTGACTTGTTCAACAATCAAAAGTTTAGGGTTGATTCAATAGTGAAATATTAGTGGAAAACTATTTGGTGAATTATTTCTACAGATTATGTGCCCTTAGACTTTATTAATGTAGTGAATGGGGTTAGTGCTGTTAATGTGTTAGTTGGGGGTAGAATGATACTTTGGAATTTGCCTGGAAGGCAGGCTTTTATTGTTGTAAAACTGCAAGATGTGGTTCTGTATTGCCTCCCACATAAGCCACAGGGCATTGTGATTTTCAATTTGGCATGGAATCCCTTTAGCTTGTTGTCTCATGAATCTAAGTTATGCCGTTTCTTCAAGCTTTGTGGATTCAATGAACCTACTTCAGTGGCAGCTATGGCTTGGTGATGGAGAAGCCTACAAGCTGTGTTTGATATTCTCCAATGTGTAAGAGGTGAGGTGGCATGTGTGGATGATATTGAATATTTTTGTTATCAGTTAAAGATTCCTTTTAGTCTTGATTAGTAAAATGCTGATTTATTGGTGGATCTGTCTGCAGGGACGACTGCTAGCTGCTGGTGGCTATTCTGAAATTAATGACTGAGGGTAGTTTTACTTTGTTTTAGTTACTTGTTGCAGCTAGGTTCCATGGTCATTAACTGTTGGGTTATAAAGTGCCTGGGGGAAGTAAATAACAAACAACTTCGGACTGCACTACTAGAACTTGGTCACTGAAACTTGGCTAGTAAGAGCAAATTTTGGACAAAATGATATATCCTCACGACTTTGTTCATTTAATTTGAGTCTGTTCTGTATCCTTATAAATTTACTAAACAATCTGAACTGAAGATGAAACAAGGTTGCCTTGATATCTTGTTATGCATATTATTGTTTGAGGTATTTTAATGGTACAATGGGGTGTCCAT